GAGCACGTGCACGCACACACGCATACACACGTACACACTATAGAGCAGGTCAGACGGAACCCAGGGTCATAGAGGAAAAATAAAGCTGAGAAAGATGATAGAAATTCAAGGCTTGGGAAGAGAAGGTAAAATGTTGGGTCCAAGTTTTAAAAGGATCTCTTTAAAACAAAGACTTCATTTCTCCCCACCCCCGCAACAACTCTGTTATAATTATGTTCATATGGTCCCTCAGTAACCACAGCACTCAAATAAAAACCAGGAATATTATGTACCAGAAAGGGTCATTTAAGAAAGGACAAATTGAAGGCCCAGTAATAGCTACCACTGCTCATATCCTGCTCTGCACTATTCTCAGTCTCTTATACACCTGTGATCTCATTTACTCCTCACACTGAATTAATGACTAGAGTAGCGTTGTTTTCCTTATTTAACAGAAAAGAAAACAGACGCCCGGGGCAACGAAGGCACTGGCCCCAGGTCACACATGTGCTAAGTGCTGATGTTGAGATTTAAGCCCACAGTCTACACTACTCTTCCCCAATAAATGTCCACCAGTGGCCTCCTTTTCTCGACATCTATCTTCCTCATCCTATTCAAGTTTTGCCTTTCAGTACTTCAGAGTTCTTACTTGGGCCCACCCAGGGCCCAAAAAAGAACTGGAGGCTGGTTCCATATATGCACTGTCCTTTTTTCTCCAAATGACAAAAAGTAAATGGCAAAAAAGCCCCTCAAAAGAGTTAAATAATAATTTCTAGATCAAATTAGAAATTATTTCCTTGAACACTCCATGTTATAAATAATCTCCAAGTAGTTCCATTTTAGTTTGAGAGTAAAATTAGTCATAGGGCTGGTGAGAATTCTTGCAGCCAATTTGCTGCTAGGCACAGACATCTCAAACCTGACATAGCCCAAGCAGAGCTCAGCCTACCCGCAAAACACATCCCTCTGCCATGTTCCTCCTCTCTGCAAAGGACACCTCAAACCCTCCCCCACAATCTCTCAGCACCTACTATAGCAGGGGTATGGTTATCCTGCTCCCTTTTCTCTCTCAAACCCTCCCCCACAATCTCTCAGCCCCTACTATAGCAGGGGTATGGTTATCCTGCTCCCTTTTCTCTCTCAAACCTCTACATCCAATCCATCAGCAACTTCCTCCACTCCACTTTACATCTCTCTGTCTCCAGCTCCCAGCCTCCCACAAAACCCAAGCCCCTTGCAGCTCTTGCCTGGACCTCTGTGAAGGGCTCTTAACTAGTTCTTGCTGCACCCTCAGGTCTCTTGCCAGAAGCCAGAGCAAACACAAGCTGAAATACCTACAAGGCACTATGTGCTCTTGCAGAGTTCTTGAGGTTTACTCTTCCCTAGTTCACTTTGTATGAAAACCAAACATGGATGATAAGATAGAGCATTCTAGACGAAAACATAAAAAACCAGCAGGGAGGTGCATATGCCTGTATTCCCAGCTCTCAGGAGGCTGAGGCAAGAGAACCATGAGCTCAAGGCCAGGCTGGACAACATAGAGAGACCCTTTCCCAAACAAAACAATACCAAAAAAAATAAAGGAAAAAAAAATGTGAATACCAGTTGACACTAGATCCACATTTAAAATCATTTCCACAAATACTTCTTTATCTCATTACCTCCTTTTCTTTAACTCTTCACAGGCCTCATACCTTCAGAAACCTTTCTGCTCACTTATTTAGATGCATTTCTCTTTAATGCCTGTAAGCCTGAACTATTTTCTTTAAATATATATAATGGATTGGAGAAAACCTTTTGTGACATTTAATCTTAATTATCTATAAACTTGACTGGATTAAGGAACTACTGAAGAGGTGACTGGCTCATGGGAATGTGACACTCCTCAGTGGATTAATCCACTGATGTTCACAGCTGACAGTGCTGTAGGCATGGCCCAGCTGGAGGAGGTGGTCACTGGGGGCTGTGCCTTTGGAAGGTCTGTTGCTTGCTGATGTGCTTCCCCCTGTGCCCAGCTCTCTGCCACCGTGAAGTGAGCAGCTTTGCTCCACCATGCCCTCTGCCTTCATGTTTGTGTTGGAGCCAGCCAACTATGGACTGATGCCTCTGAAACCGTAAGTCAAATTAAACCTTTCTTCTTTAAGCTGTGGGTTGGAGGTATTACGTCCCAGCAACAGGAAAGCTGACCAATTCACCCTTAAGGCATGTTTTCCTCTTGCTCTGATTACTCTGACCCAATGAGTATGAGCCCAGTGTGCTGGACTTACTCTTCTGAGTTGAGTGTGTTCCACACATATGGTTTTCTCTAAGACCTCTATTACACTGAATACATTTTCTGGCCCAAACTGCCTTTCTAAGAGTGTCCCAATGGGTCTAAGGATGCTACAAAAAAATGAAAGTAAAAAATAAATAAATGTAAGATGTGATGCTGAATATTAAAATATAAGCTTTACATAAACTCAGGGACATGAAAGAGAGCATCAGTGTAAAATAAGTTTGGGAGTGATTCGTGCAAAGTCCTTGATACTGGCAAAGAGCATTATCAATGGCCCAGCAACTTGAGAGGGCTCATCAGGAGCTCTGTGGCTGCGGGCTTGTCATTACTGTACTGAAGGCATTTTGGAAGAACTACCAAAGGAAGACATTATGAGGTCCAAAAACAAAAGGCAATATGAATCAGTGCGCCCAATTATCTGCACCAAACCATTTCATTAGACTAAAAGAAGGGTAGGCTCACTGCTTCATGAGAAGATCCCTGAGTTTTGTTTACTAAGAGCTTCAGCTCCTAGAACAGTGCCTGATACATAGTAGTTCTTCAATAAAATGGTCTCTAAATAAATAAACTAATTAAACAAATGAATATATGTTTTAAAGTTTCTATCTTTTATCTTCTCTCTTCCTTTTTACTAATCTAAATCTTCCTTTATAAGACCCCTAAAAAGCCAGGCGTGGTGGCACAAGCCTATAATCCCAGGACTTGGGAGGCTGAGGCAGGAGGACTGTCACGAGTTCAAGACCAGCCTGAGCTACAAAGTGAGCTCAAGGCCAGCCTGAACTACATAGCGAGACCCTGCCTCAAGAAGACAAAAAAAAAAAAAAAAAGACCCCTAGAGAAAGAAGTATTCAATCACTATGTCATAAATCTTTACCAGACCACTAATAGACCCTCAGCCATAGCTCAGAGAACACAACATGAGAAATACAGACGCTTTGTGGAGACATTAACCATTAGAGACAATGAATGCTCTTGGAGTCAGCGGTAGACCTGGAAAATGGTAAGTCCACTGAGGTAAAAACAATCATCAGCAGGCAGCTATAAACTGCAGCATATCAACTCAGTAAAGACTCAGTCTCACCTAGGCATGCTCAGCACTGTGCATAAAACCACATTTTATCTAGGAAGCCTGCAACCAATTAGCTTTATTATTATTAATTTTGCCTCTTCTCGCCCTTGCCTGTAATCTAAACACCACAGTAAGTTTAAAACTAGGCAAAAAACATTACCTCAATTCCTCCTAAATCCACTCCAAAGAACAAATCCTTTAATACACATTGCAGGTAAAACACTGAACCCAAGCAAGTAAAATAACTGTAATCCAGAGTAAAAGCTCTGTTGGCCTTATAAGCTACTGGAAGAAAAGGCATTAAAAGTGATTGCCCAACACACCAACAAAGTGCTGTCATTTACCAGGCACCTTGAAGTACCATTAACAAGACACAGTTTCCAAGAACTGAAATTAGATTTAATTATCCCATGCCTCTTCCACCCTATTTTTTTTTTCAGCTTTCAAAACTGAAGGGGAAAAGGGAGAAGGAAGAGCAGACACTGAGGCTCTTTTGAGAAATCAAAGGATTCAAAAGTTAAGTGCAGCTTCCACTAAGATAGTAACAGATGTTCAAGGAAACCTGGGGGGGTTGAAAGGTTCCAAGTCTAGAACACAGAGAAACAATTCAGTTTTCCACACATCCAAAGTCCTCTCCTCCAAACTGAGTTTCATGTAAGTATCGGGCTGGTATGTCTCAGCGGGCGGGCAATCTGAACATTCCCTAACAGCCTAAGAAGAGAGGACCAAGTAATCCGGTCTACCCCGCAGAGATAAGCAAGACTTTCCAGGGTGTGATTCAAATCTCACAGGCATAAGAGTCCCAAATCTATTAAGATCCACGGAGTATCAAGGATCTCATGGACAGCCTCTGCAATGCCCCTGTATTCCTGTTTGTCTCCAGCTTGATTTTTGTTTTTTGAACTTAAAAAGTTAATGGTACAGTCACATGTGATCCACGTAAATCTTTCTCACAGTTGCAGTCCACATGCTGTCACACACACCCCCAAGTGCCTGGGTGCCCATTTCTTTGCAATCCTGATCGCTCCACGTGTCTGTCCGTAACCAAGCTTCCCAACTTTGAGAGGTAAGGATACCTCTCAAACTTCGAAAGGCACCTAAAGAGGAAATAATAAAATAGCAAACTGCCTATTTTGAAAGGCGAAAGGATTTTCTCTTTCTTTCTTTAATGGAAACGTCTTACGGAGGCTGGAAGCCTCGAACTGGGGCCGCCGGAGGGCCCCGAGGATAAGTCGCAGGCTTTCGCGGGTGGTGATGCTTTTTTCAAACACTAAAGTTTAAAAAGAACAACGTGGTGGGAAGAATTGCTGTGATCCAACCAAACGCTAGATTCAGCGGGGCACAACGCATCCCCTCTCTGCCAGCCATTCTTCAGAGGTGCAGGAAACAGCTGGCGGCTGGGCAGGGGAACCAACCTGCGCGCTCCTCCAGCCGCCCCAAACCCTGCAGGTACCAGCGAGGAAACCAGGGCTCCCGCTTCCCTCCTGCCACTGCGGCCCGCCCTATCCCGGGCACTCCACCTGGAGCGGAGCGGGTCGTGGGCAGGGCGCGGTGCACAGGCAACACCGGCTCGCGGGTGGCACCATCACGCGCACACGCGCGCGCACACACCCCGAGAGGCGCGCAGGGAGGGGCGCGCGGTGGCGGTGGCGGCGGCGCGGGCGTCGGGCGCGTTACCTGTTTTGCCAGCCCTGGAGGAGGTTGGTGTATTTGCTGAGCACGCCCTCGAGCGCCGGCTCCCTCCTGCGACTGCCGCCCCCAGACGGGCTAGCGGCCACCGAACCAGGGCTGCTGCGGCTGCCCCCGCCCCCGAGCCCGGCTGCCGAGGGCCGGCCAGAGACCCCCCGGCCCGCCAGCGAGCAGGAGGGCGAGGAACCCGCCGAGGTGGCGCGGCTGCTGCTTCGGCTGCTGCTGTTGCTGCCCCCGCCGCCGTCCGCGCCCTGGGCCGCCCTCTCCATGGTCTGTGCGCGCCCGGGACGCGGATCCCCGCCGCGGTGGCGGCCCCGGTGCAGCAGCGGCTACTGCTACAGCTCCGGGCGCCCGGGCCGCGAGTGGCTGCTCCAAATCCCCGGGAAATGCCTGACTCATACAGGAGGAAGAAGAGGAGGAGGCGCCGAAGGAGAGCTGGGAAGGAAGCCAACCCGGCTGGATGCAGCTGCGGCCGCCCCTCCTCCCGCCGCGGCCGGCCCGGCCCCTCCCTCCGCACTAGTTTCCCGGGCAAGTTCCGAGCTCCCGGCCGCTCCTGCGAGCGCTCAGTGGGTCCCTCCTCCTCTACGCGTCCGCGATCGCTCCCGCCCTCAAAGGGGGGGCGGCCCCAGGGCCCAGCCACAAGGTGGGCACGCCCAAATCCCACGCCCCGGCGCCCTCGCGTTCCCGCTGTCGCCCCCTCTCGGATCCGAAGGGGCGAAAGGGAATCTCTGCGCGTCACTCCTCACCCCCAGCCCACCTCGGGACCTGGAGGGAGGAGGGACCCCACCCACCAGGTCCCCTCGGATTTGCACCCGCCCGGCCAGATTCTAGCACGCTCCCTCGCTGCTTCCTCCGGGCAGCCTGAGCCAGACACGTACACAGTAACCTGGAGATCATCCTGGCCTGCAGGGCAGAGCGACAGCAAGGCCCTCCGGGTTCGCCTGAGGGAAAGGAGGGGGAAGGGAGGGACGGGTGACTGTCACAGGTGAGCTCTGCCCTGGGCGTTTTCACAAAGCTATGCTGAATGTACAACGCCAGAGAGGGACTGGGGAGAGGACTTTAGGTTCTGCAAGTGCCTCCTTGAAATGAGAGCACTAGGGGACAAATACACTTTCCTTATCCTAAACCCTGCTTTGAGGGACATAGGCTAATCGCACAAGTCAACACCGACCGGTGTTATCCTGCGGCCTCTACAACGGGAAGGCAAGTGAACAGGTATTTGCGAACGTCAGTGTTCTCTGCTGGCTGTAACTTCTTTCCCCCACCCCCACCTCAAGACACACTACACTTCAACTCAGTTTCCAAGACTAGAAGTCTTGCTCTTGGATGCAAGTACTTGAGTTGCACTAACGCACTAATAATTTTTGTGAATATATTCAGTGTAATCTATAAATTTCTAAACGTTCTTAGCAAAAAGCTCTGAGGCGCTTGGACTCCCACCCTCCCACCCACACAAGAAAACAAAAACCAAAGGTTTTAGATGATAGGTGATCCTACCCAAAGGATCTCAGGCCTGAACCCTTCCTGGCTTCACGTCCTTCCAAGGTTTCAGGGAAGAGCTAGCTGTAGAAATTTTCATGGAGAAGTTCCTGGGGCCCATGAGAAGTACTGTCGTTGTGTCCCCAAATAAATTACAATTCCCAGTGCCTGCAACAGTGCAAAAAATTTTTTTCCAAGAAAGAGACTGCTACATGGGCTAACGTTGAAGCCTGTTTCAATCTATGATCTCCATCAAGTTGCGTCTTTTAGCTTCAGCTTTCTCAGCTTCAAGGTGAGACTAATAATGTTGGCATGATGAATTCTGAAAGAATGTGTATTTGTTCAGAATATGTACTGGTTCGTACAGGAGGAGTCTTGACTCAGTCTTGCCCTTGGAATTGCTCCGGCAGTGGAATATGAGCAGAAGTAACTGGTGCCACTTCCAAACATCAGCGTAGCCATCATCCAGCTCTGCCTTCCTTCTCTCTTCCTTATCCCAGGCAAGCAGCCGGATAGGATAGGGTCTCTCCTTAGGCTTAGGTCCAGAAGACATGGGGGCCACAGAATGGCCCATTAGTGTTAGCCATGTAATGCGCATGAAATGTGTGTTTTAAACCACTGAAATTTAGCACCTAACTTTGCCTAAATCTACTGATATATACCGATCAGTATAGGAGTGTTCACTGAGTCCTTCACTGATAGATGTGCGGGGAGATACCATACTATAAATGTTGTCGCCCCCTTTTCTTTTTAATTGGAAACTGCCACTCTGAGCTGCGGCTAAAAATGAAGTGGCATCATTTTATTTCATATCATATAACCCATCCATTTTCCACCCTATCCAGCCAAACTAGACTAGATGAGCTAGACCAGCAAATTCTCACTTTGGACTAAAAAACCAAGACCCTTAAGAAGTCTGGCTAAAGGGAGAGGGGCTGATTTTGTAAGAATAGTCAAAGTCAGGATGGGCCAGGAGCAAGCCAGCTGTCTAGGATCAAAAATGCGGGATCAAGAAGTCAATCAGGAGTAAGCCATGAAGCCAGATGTTGTGGGGCATGCCTGTAATACCAGCTCTCAAGAGGCTGAGGCAAGAGGCTCACCATGAGTTTGAGGACAGCCTGGGTTACATAGAGAGTTCAGGGCTAGCCTGAGCTACAAATCAAGACCCTGTCTCAAAAAAACCAAAACAAAAAAAAGAAGAAGTAAAAGGTGAGCACAGCAGGCGTGCTGAAGAAAGAGGCAAAACCATGAAAGAGAGAAAAAGCACATACTGTTCCCTCTGTTCGCAGCACTCTTTCCTGCTCTCTTCACCTGTTTGTGCTGGTTGTCTGTGGAGTTTTGAATTAAATCACTTCGGCCAGGCATGGTGGCACATGCCAGTAATCCCAGCACTTTGGGAGGCCAAGGCAGCAGGATCGAGGGTTTGGGCCTACCCTTAGTGACTTAGTGTAACCCTGTCTCAAAATTTAAAAAGAAAAAAAATTAAAAAGGACTGAGCTGTAACTCACTGCAAAGTCCCTGGGTTCAACCCCCAGGACAAGAGGCAAGATATTATGTCTTCCAGAAAGCTTCCCATGACCTACCCGTATATAGCAGGTAGGGAAAAGGTACCTCCAGTGTTCTCTTTGGAGAGAAAAAGGGCTCCATATTAGACAATTTGAGAGTAAATACATAACAAATAGGCTGAAAATTTTTGAATAAACATTATTAAAATTACTTGCAAAGCATATGTCCAAAATAAAGGCCATTTTCTTAATTTTCCCAGATAACATAAATAACTGAAAATAACATAATTGGAAATTTAACACCCATCTTTGGCTTTGAATATGGAAGCCAGGTGTGATTGGAGCAAAAGAACCTCTCGAGCTGGATGGGGTGGCTCATGCCTGTAATCGCAGCACTCTGGGCAGCTGGGGCAGCAGCATCGTGAGTTCAACTTAGAGATTTTGAAGACCCTGATTCTGAATAAGAAATGTTAAAAAGGAATGGTAATGTAGCTCGTGTGAAGGGCCCTACCTCAATCCCTAATCCTGAGGGAGGAGGTAGAGCAAGGACAAGTGAGCAACAGAAAACCAGGGGCAAGGACAAGAAACCAGACAGAGCAAGGACAACTTTGCCCACAGATAAAGGCCATCCTGTGCCCTTTCAAGGCTCCTAGGCTTGTGCAAATCCACAAGTATAGGACTCGAGCCTATGTCACCACTTGCAGTAAGGTTTTGACACCCCCACCCTACAATGGCTTTGGACCACATGACACTTCCTCTAAAGACCTTGAACGGTCAAAAACGCCACCTTCGGATGGGTGCACCAAGGAAGGTATCCCAGAACATGGCTCCTGTCAGTCCCCAGCTGTAGGTCCTCCTGCAACCCCAGGACTTTAAGAGACCCAGTGCCTGCCCCTGTGGGGCCATCAGTGCTTCTCGTCGGTCCTCGCCCACCCCACAGTGCGTTTTTCTTTAACAAATCTTGCTTTTCTCACTCCTTCTGAGTGCCTTGCTTGGTTCTTTGTTCAGGTTACCACAAACCTGGAAATGACTCCCCCCAGGCCCTCCAGTGGATAACATCAGTACCGCCAAAAAGAAGAAGAGGAGAAAAAAGAGGAGCAGCGAGGGAAAGAACAACTACTGCCGCTGCTACTCAGAATAATGAGCAGAATCCGTAGCTCCCAGGAGGAGACTCCTCAGCTTCTTCATGTGGCCCTGGAGAACCGACTTGGAGCTCCTAGCAGTTGTTTCTGGAACTCTCTCCTCTAGCTGGGACTGTCATTCATGCCAGTGACACAGAAGGCTGAGGGAGGAATAAGTGGTCAGTGACCTCTGCGAGCAATTGACATGAATGAAACCTGGTCTCAGGTATAGAAAAACTTATCAGAACCAGCTCACCCTCTAAGATGAAGTTAGTCACATCTGTGTTAGACACACCTTGTCTGATGGCTTGTAACTAGATATCTCCCCAAAGCCTCATATGCTCACGGGTGGGGGTTTTCAGGACTGGCTGGATCTAGGGCATGTGATGCTGGGATCAGTGTGGTACTAAGTTAGTTCACTGATTGGAATTAGCATAGTTCTGGGTGGCACCACCCAAAAGGCTGGTAACCTGGATGACATAACATGGAAAGGAAGGCTGGCTGCTTGTTGCTTTCTGTCTTCTGCCTGCCCTTCCATGAACTGTTTCTCCTCTGCTTATTCCCCTCTGCCATGCCAGCCTGCTTTGGAGCCAGCTGACTATGACCTGAAACCTCTACAAACTGTGAGCCAAAATAAACCTTCCCTCCTTTAACTTGTGGGTGTCAGGTATTTTGTCTCAGCAACCCAGAAAGTAACTAAGACAGATGCGTTTTTGTTCCAGATAGACAAATAATAACAGCTAATTTTATTGAGGACTTACTATGTGCTGGACATAATTTCAAGTATCTTACAGGTAAGTAACTCATTTAGCCCTCACAATAGCCACATAAGGAGACCTATAGTTCTCATTCCCATTTTACAGCTGGAGGAAACAGAATCAAAGGGAAGTTAAGCAATATTTCCCCAAATTTTCCTGGAGCCAGGATTTGAAATCAGGCAATTCAACTACTGAGCCTCAGTTCTTAACCACTGTGTTATAGCATTTGTGATATTGCTTCTTAATTGATCCAGTTTCATTTCCTGTACTTAATAAAACCACTAGAAGTACTTTGGAGCACCTGGAATTCCATTTCCTGTTATATTTATGCTTGCTTAGGAATTGATTCTTCCATCAGCACTCTTAAAAGAAGCAGGGAGATGTTTAGGCTCTTAGTGCTGGGCCACAAGACCTGCTCGCAATGACACCCCATAAATATTTATTATTTGATGAATGAAGTCCAGTTTTATGGAGAAGAAACAGAAACTCAGAGCGGAGG